ATGTTGACAAGTGTGTAGTCATGCATACTGGACCAAACATTATGATGCAGGAATTAAGTAAATCTGCTATAGAAGTCACCCTTGATGGCATGAGATTGTCTGTTTGCGACACTGTCAACACACTTGGTGTTGTACTTGACAAAGACCTCTCTTTTTCTGACCATGTCACATCTGCAGTTCATCGCGCAGTGGGTAGACTGAGAGGTCTTAGCAGATTTAAAACTCTACTGCCAGAATATGCCAAAATGCAACTCATGCGGTCCTTGGTCCTCCCAGCCTTTACATATTGCTTTCCTGCATATGGAAACAGCATCTCTAAGGAGGATATGGCAAGAGTTCAAAGAATTCAAAATTCTGCAGTAAGGTCCATTTTTGGCCTTAACCGCTTTGACCACGTGTCCTCCTTCCGAGATGCTGCAAAGCTCATCCCAATGGATGAAATATGCAGGAGGCTGACCTGCTGCCTGGTCCACAAAGTGCTCACGCTGGGAGAGCCTCAGTACCTCAGCGAGAGGCTTAAGTACAGGGGGGAGATCTGCCTGCGTGGTACTCGTTCCAACCGCAGGCTTCACTTTCCTAAAGTGAGGCTTGAGGTTGGAAGAAAGTCATTTTCTTATTTTGGCCCGCAGTTGTATAATGGCCTCCCTCAGGACATTAAGAGCTCCAAATCGTATGGCTCATTCAGGGCCGCAATGCAGAAAAACAAATGTGAATTGTAAATGTTTTTTTCTTTGTAGTTTTTTGTATATTAAATTTCTGTATATATTAGGTTAGTTTAGTTTTAGTTTGACTTGAGTAAGTTTGAAAATCATGTATATGAAACTCGCTTGTAAATAAAGGCCTTTTTATTTATTATTTATTTATTTAACTAGTCACTTTGCACTCGAGTTGCACATTATATTTTTCCTACAGTTACCATAAAACAAATAAATTGGTAAAGAAACGTGCCTTCGCGTTGCAAATCTGGAGTGAGACAAAGTAATTAGAGTGAGACAATTTTAACATTGTCATTTAACATTGTCAATTTTAACTTTAGGAAAAAGTCATATGGAGAATCTTATCACTAAGTAATGTGTTTGTCACACCCATTTCAATACTGCTAATATTGTCTAGGAAAACATCTTCTAGGGCAAACTCAAATATTTAGGATCAAAATTAATAAAAGGTAATAACTAAGTGAATTTTCAACGGGACTGGGACTAATAAAATTATCAAAAAATGTAAAATTCTCCCCTATACTATTGTAAAAAGTAGCAAAACAGGCGTTGTCGTTGTGTGCAATCTCTACTCGATAATTCCGTGAACGTCCACTTAAGCAGGACAGCGTTTATTTAAGGTGGGCCTCTTCCGTCAGCGATGCCACACATTGTTGAGCTTAGTTTGGATTGCACACGTAAGGGAATCAAACCGGCGCATGTAGAGAGACTTCAGCGCTACACTTGTCAGTGCATCGCCTTGCCACCGTCGGGCTTTGGCCGACCGGGACCGGGTAGTTACAGTATAAACAAGCACACGACAGCCTGACTTATCACTTATTGCAAACGAAAAAACTGGCCAATGTAAAAGAAGAAACTTACTGGTTGTTGGTTGGACTGCGGCCTTTCGTCTGACGACCCTCATAGGGTTGAGTTCCCGCAAGGCTCAAAGAACGTTTCATGACTGACGTCATAGTGATGACTGATGGCACGTTTCCCATATTCCAGATTTCCAAGACTGTTGTAGTAGTCGTCTGCCAAAGTGTCAAATCGCCAAAATTAAAATTGGTTGTTTATTTAAAATGTTTATTATTTCGACTTGACATGGGATAGTGTATTATTAGTCTATTAGTAAAGCCTACAGTTCTTGAGACGGTACGGTGAAATATATACGATTAAGTTTCAAATAAAAATAACGAGCTCTATTTGTAAGCTGGATAACCTCTCCATCTCCCCTTTTAGGGATACAAAAAGCTCCATCCAAGGTGTGATTTTGCATACCTATGACGCGTGATCTCTACTCGTAAATTTTTACCACATTTATTAAATACTAGCAGTTGCCCGGCGCGCGTTGCTGCGCTAACAAAATACATCTGTCTGTGTGAAAAGCATGTTTTTTCTACATTTAAACCGACGATAGTCAGGGATTGCCCTAGTGCCTTATAGTGGTGATTGCGAATGCAAGACACTAAGGAAATTGTAGTTGCTTATATTCAGAGGGTAATTCGGATTAAATCATCAGTATTTTTGGGATTAAGACTATTTCTCCCATACACCTACCACTCATAATTTTTGCTTTAATCAATTTTGACGTCATTTTTTAATCGTCAGTCTGGTAGCGTTGTACAGCTTCGGTGGATTTAAGTTTCGCATTAGTATTATTGGAGTTCCTTCTTTTAATGGCAGTAATGTGGTGGGCTATTGAGAGGTATTTTATTTTTTTTAATACCCGAGATAGCACGCATGATTATTATTCACTTAATAATTTATGTTAGATTGTGTGGGTATAGAACGGAGGATAAAAATATTAAGGCATTGTCATCCCTTTTATTGTGTATAATACTTTGATAAAGGTTTTTATGTTTTAAATATTTAACATTGGGGAATTTAAACGTTGTTGAGTGCACAGGTGTCTAATACATTTGGACTTATTCAAAAGTAAAATAATTTTCTGTGCTGCACTCTGTAGAAACACTGTGGCACTATTTCAAATCACGACTAATGCTAATACAGGATGCTGTGATTATTCAAACCTACAAAACAGTTGGTGAAAGTAAACATCTGCTTTTAAATTATATTTATTTGTAAACATTGTAGTTAAAAAAGTCTGACATTGGCCCACTTAACCCTCCAAGTGTCCATAGTAATGGTATTAATGTCCGCCCATTTATTGCGCAATTTCAGGGTTTTATTAAAATGTATCTTAGAAACTTAAAAACAATGTAAAGTATACTGTTTTATATATCATTTTGTTTGGGAAATTATGGGCTTCAATGTGATATATAAAACATTAAAAAAATTTTTCAACAATTTTTGTGGGGTTAACATTTCTCAAAAATTATAAAATAAATATAAAAAAATTATGTTTGCGCTCAATAATTTTTTATAATTTATAAGTCTACAAATATTTTTAAATAGCCACTTTGTTCTAAATTTTATAAGGATTACAAAAATATAATAATATTAGTAACCCTCTGGGGCGGAGCCCTTTTGACGTATCTGCACCAAACCTCACTCGAACCATCCTTGAAAGATGCTTGCTCAATAATGCCTGAAAGTTTCAATACAATCTGTCAAGCGGTTTCGGAGTCCATAGCGTATATACACACATACATACATGCATACATAGTTCCTCTTTTATAGATATAGATTCCATATTAACTTAAGTTATATTTACATAATTTAAAGCATCAATTCACTCAGATCCCCCCCCCCCAACCTTTAAACATTAAGCTAAATTCCTTTAAACTTCCAACTCAGGTTATGAATTTCATGAAAAAATTTAATTTAAAACCAATCTTTGTATTTTGTATATCAAAACTAACTTGCTATCTTCTGTTAATGGCTCATTCAATAGCACTCTTTGCTTCAGTAACCAAAAGTCAATGAAATTAATTAAATAAAAATATTTTACTTCACAGTATACACAGTTTAAACGAGCTTCCCACACAAGAATTTAGTCCAGAAAACGACTGTTTGCCGCCAGCTTAAACAAATGGGGCTTCATTGTACTACTGCACTGTAATAATTAACAAAATGCCATCCACCTTGCAACTTGCAACTTTGAAACTAGGCTACCAACTTGCACTTGCGTCACTTGCTTGCGTTCAGTAGCGTATCCGTATCCGTTCTGAAACCGAAACCATTAACCAGAACCACTAAAATGGATAAGAATGAAACTGGAAAGTGTGAATGTCATGGAAATCTGACGTCGAGCCTACGTCATGGAACATCCTTTGAGCCTTGCGGGAACTCGATCCCTGGAGGGTCCACTCTGTGTTGAAAAAAAACCATTGAGCTAAAAAACGTACGACTGTTTTTGCTGGTTTTGTTTCAGAGTTTTGTGTTGTTAGGTTGGTCGTCTGATCGGTTGGTGGGACTTGTCAAATTAGAGGCAAGATCAATAAAGCGTATGTTTTTATAGTAAACAAAAATAGGCCTGTGTCAACATTATAATTGCAAAATAAGTTTATTTATTTGTTTTACGAGCAACCCATTTTAACAAGATCATAAACCATAATGTTTAAAAATCTATCTATCTATATATTAATAGGCAAGCATGTTTCTTTAAAACCTTTTTTCTCAGCTCGTGTGAATCGTAGGGAAAATCTACGCATACCGTTGGAAAGCTATTTTCCTGTAGGTGTGCAGAATCCCTTTATAAATTTAAATAGGCTCAAAGATAAGCACAAAAATGAGTTTAAAAATTTGAAAAAATTAACATGGATCTTATGCGTTGCTATGCTGGTTACGAAATAACAACGAAATATAAACAGAAAATCAAAACAAATGGAGGAAACTCCAATCACATGTTTTATTTACAGTGTGGGGTGAAAATAGATAAGTGAGTACATTACATATTTTTGGTCGAGTTTCGACCACTGGACGACCTCTCGTAACTATAAATACACAGGTTTTAACGTTCAATAGCTTAAATAAGTTTTTGATACAAGTCCTTGAAATAGCGGATAAACCCAAATAAATAGTATGGTTAGGTTAGAATTAATTGGAATTTGACAGCATCCCACCAACCGATCTCTTGGCCAACCTAACATTACGAAATACCGATAACAAAACAGCAAAAACAGTGGCACGTTTTTCTCTAATGTTTAGCCAGAGAGTAGGGACATGTAGGGAGTATGTTTTATCCATCGATATATGTTTTATCAGTTAGTATAATCGATATTTTAACTCAATGGTGCCGCACCACATTCCCGTGGTTGGTGGCAACACTGCGCAGAGCCAGCAGACAACGTCCGAACTGAAGGCTGGCTGCAGGGAGTGTAAGAAGAAGAAGTGGAAGGGAAGGGAAAGGGAGTGCAGTGAAGGAAGGGACTTTTGGAGACGGGAGTATTAATTATTTGCATACAGTAAATTGATTGTCTGCGGCTAATATTAATTTTCGATATCTGTTGTAGATTGGTATGGTATAGGCTAGTAAAGATTTTTTAAGGAACATGGATGATAAGAATGAAACACCTGAAAATGAACAGCCCCCTGGCGATCCACACGATAAAGATTCCAAACCTAAAAGGTAACTTAATTCATCATTACAATCACAACGGTACAATAATTTTTATCACAATAATAAGTAATAGGCTATGCAAATCGAAGTGCTATCGAATTCTTACTTAAAGGAAGTCATAGCCTCAGGCTAAGAAAAGCCTGGGAGAGTGTGTTTGTCTTAGATACATAAACATAATTTTGCCAAAAGGCCATGATGACTTCTCACTTTTGGTAATCGGGTCTTTCGACGTTGAAGGACATGATATGCATGGTTGTGTTAAATAAATTTGAAGTTTTAAATAGCCTAGGCCTAATAGCTGGTTGGCTAAAACTTGATTTATCACCCAGCTAACTGACTACTACTGTAGCCTACCAACGTCCACCAAGCCTACTTTTCAGTCTTTGCCTGTTTCCAGTTAACATTTAAGTTATTATCATTCGATTTTTGCTACCTATTTTATCATCCATATATAAATCCCAAAGTATGGTAGGGTACCGTACCCATGAACTTTTGGGAAAACTACTTAGGCCTAGCCTAAGTCACACCCCCAAACCATAGTAGAACCTCGCTAATCCGTCACATACGGGACCGGGAGCATGGTCGGATCCAGCAAAAAGGTCGGATTATCAGAGGAACGCTTTTATGGACATAAAAACTTAGTAAAACTGTATTTTGAACAGACCACGTATAACTGATAAGTTAACCACGGTTAACTTAATCCAACATGACATAAAACAGTTATTTCCAACTCATAAACTAAATGGACGTTAATGTATAATAATTTGCATATTACATCATAAAAATACAATTAGTAGGCTAAGTTATTGCGCAATCATTATAATTAGCCTATATGTTATGTCATCACCCTTGGTTCAGTAGGCCTAGTAAAAACTGTAACTTAACGTTTAAAATCACAGCTTTTTCAAACTTTTACTCAAACAAACAGTTTGCCAAACATTGCACCAATAATTGCCAAAATAAAGAACAGAACATTTAGAAAGTCTAGTAAGCTACTGCTTGTCATAGGCTACTGCTACGGTGTTTCAGGACAGAATCTTCCATTCTTTCTTAAGTTTCTCTTCATACACCCATTCAACAAGTTGCCATGGTTACTAAACACCCAATCACAGGCTACTATCACAAAATGTTGTGACATAGCAAGCGCAAAGCAGACAGATGTCGTGTGTAGGCCTAAGGAGCAGACGATTGTCAGTGCAAACGGATAGCTTGACCTTGAAGCTTTTTGATCGGCATTCCTTTGTTTTGCATCCATTTCATTTTTGTCAAATGAACTGTGATTTTCTAATAACAATAATGTGGGAGCCTACTTAATATTAATAATAAGTAATGGGCAGACATAACTAAATATAGGCCTACAACAAATTTCAACACATTAGACTAAAAAAAAAACACAATTTATTAAGTTTTCTGGATATTTGTCTTGGACAATGAGGTTATGTTAGCGGAAGCTTATTGTGTTGGCGGCACTTCCAGACCAAGCGAGGAGTCGGACCATCAGGGATCGGATTTAGCGAGGTTCTAAGTACTGTACTTAAAATGTTCGTCATGAAAAGTAACCTTGTGCAAAACTATCCATTACCGGTAAGTTATTTCATAAATTGCCCTTTAAGGTCGTAATTCTTTTCTGAAGGTAACTTCAAGATTCAAGATTTATTGAGCCGTTCGGTTTACAACAATTGGCCAAGTCACTAACACTAAACTAAAATAACAAAACAGAGATGGTCGGATTATCAGAGGAACGCTTTTATTGACATAAAAACTTAGTAAAACTGTATTTTGAACAGACCACAGATAACTGATAAGTTAACCACGTTTTACTTTTAATCCAACATTACATTTAACTTTCCATAAAGTTAGCCTACCTAATGTCTAATGTTAAAAATATCTCAGCTGTACTTAAAATATTTGTACGTCAGTCTTTCAATTTTAACTTCTAGGCGTACCGGTATTGAAATCTAGGATTAAGTTATGCTTCAAAATCTTTTTGGTAAAAGGCCAATTAACTTACGGTAAGTCAGCCTATGGTTGTAAAAAAATATTTTTAGCTTACTGCTTCATACGATTAATCAGGCCCAAAGTTAAAGTTGTGCGATATTATTTTAACTTCACTTATGTTATTTAAATTATGTTTTCCTACCACTGCATGGAAATGACGGTACTTTCCTGTTAAAAGGAACGTTCATTATTGTCGATGATTTATTTTCGATAGCCTACTTATATCGATATTTTATTTTTCTATCCGATAGCCAATGATAATTACAAATTGAAACATATCATCTGACATCTCTAGGATAAGGATACAGTAAATAAATACCATTCAGTAGGCCTATCAACAAACAATTTAAAAAATATTATATTGTAATGAAACTGTTCTAAACTAACCTAACCAACCAAACTTGCTGTATCATTTCAAAATTCCGTTTGATAGCCTATTCCCCATATGCCTTTTCATTTATCAAACGGAATTTTGAAATAGTAACTTAGCATAGGCCTACAGCAAGCTTGGTTAGTTATGTTAAGTTAGTTTAGAATAGTTTAATTTCCTAATCCAATATATTGGCTACCTAAGTTATTAATTTTGCATAAACAAGGTTAGTTCTTAATTTGTAATTTAAATGGGTTTGAAGATTATTAAAACAGAAGGAATACGGCTCGTGAAGTAAAATAAAAATATTGATATAGGATTGAAAAGAAATCATCAATAATAATGAATGTTCCCTTTGTCAGGAAAGTACCGAAATGACCATATTGCCATACCTGTAAACAATACGCAAAATAGCTCATTCCCGCTCCTTCGGTTAATCAGCTGATTTCGCAGTGGTCGAGTCTAAACCAACCACAGCCGCGGATCCGATACCCTTAGGTAACAACGGTAGGCTAAGCAATATAACATAACCTTAAAAATGCTAATAGGCCTAGCAAAGCTTCGTGTGGCCATCTACAGTTCTCGAGCGCCAATAGCTAGTATTTTAAACAAGCTTTTTAGGCTACCAAGTTCAATTAATAGGAATATATCTGTTTAGTCCTTGTAAGAACAAGCCTACTATAGCCAACTTGTTACAAAGTCAAGTACGCTTAAATGTTATTTTTACTTAACAACTTTCATCATGTTTAAATTAAAAGCCGATTTCAGGATTAGTTGTTGAATACTGTTTTCTGCACCATCGTTTGTTGAAGCACAATTTGACCTATGCATAATGACAAAGGACGATTTCTTGACATTGAAAAGTGTTATTCATAGAACAAGTAACATAATACTATGGTTAAAGCAATATTAAAAGTTAAAGCAATGTCGTTTTTAACATTAAAAATAAAGAAAGGCAATAAACTCCAATTTCAGTAGGCTAGACTCTGTAACACAAAAAAGTATTTTTAAATAATCGTTTTACAGTTTACAGTAGACTCCCTCTCATCCGGACTCCTCGGGACCGAGGCCAGTCCGGATAACGGTTTTTCCGGTTAAGCCGACGTCCCCAAAAACTCATTGAAATGGACCGTTTACGGTGATATTCAACTTAAATTTAGGAGAGCATTGTATTCAGACATGTGATCACTGGTCTCAAATCTTTCCCACGAGAACAGTCGTTACAGTACCGCCCACTTCCTGCCGATCTAGTCCGGTTAAACCAATGTGCCGATAATAATTGTCCGGTTAAAGAGATGTCATTTCCGCCGACTGTAGTCCGGTTAAACCGATGTCCGGTTAAAAGGTGTCCGGATTAGAGGGAGTCTACTGTAATTGTTTTTAATAGTTGATAAAAGACATCTATAAATGAATGTATATTAAAGAAATGAAATGGGCTTTTAAAATATAGTTTGGTTGTATGTCCTTTGAACTTAATGAAATTTACATATAAAATGCTTAAAAATAATGCAATATTTAAAAATAAGTACTAAATATGATGGAACACCCAACTAACTTATTTTGGTTCTGTTGTTGTTGTTGTTGTAATGTTAGGTTTATAGCCTATAGTTGCAATTAGTTTCACAGGAAAAGTAGCTAAAATTGTAGCTATAGCTACATTTCATCGTAGCTGTAGTTGTAGCTAGCTACTTTCTCGGAACCGTAGCTGTAGCTGTAGCTAAGCTACTTTTTTGGAAATGTAGCAGTAGTTGTAGCTAGCTACATTTTAAAAGTAGCTTCCCCAACACTGAGAATATTATTGTTTTGTGACAAAAAGTCAGAAACTTGGGAGTGAACAACTCTTTCTAGGGCTTTAGAGAGTGCAGGAATGATGCTAATTAGTCTGTAATTTTGCACAAGCGATGGGGATGAGATCTCATTCAAGGGACAGACAAGCGCAGACTTCCATTTTTATGGGAAAATCCCTAATCTCAGTGAGGTGTTGAATACAGTGACGGATCTAGAACAGTCACAATGGGGGGGGGGGGGGGGGGGGTTTCGGGGGTACCCCCCTTAAAAATTTGTGTAAACTAAAAGTCTCAAAAATGGCAGTTTTATACCATTTCTTTGTCCAAAATTAGTGTGACAAATTATTATACGCAATGTGTATGCACTACTTTAGGCCTATTACATGCAGAAAAAAATATATTTGTATGCCCGAGATAGGAGGAGAGTGAACAAGATATGGTTAGGCCTAATTAAGGAAATTGAAATTCTGTCGGAACAATGTATATGGTGTAAATGAAAAATAAGTTCTAAAAAAAATGTTTTGTCCTTATACTCAATGAATTGAATTTTGCCTCATAATTTGTTTGTGAAATATAATTTTAAAAATTGGGAAACCTCAGTTTTAATGTGCACAAGTGTTATAAATTTTAATCATTGAGATCCAAAACTCATCCTAGTAAACTTAGTCATTAATCAATGGTTTCAGCTCTAAGAAAAGAAATCGCAGAAAAAAGGCTAATGGAGTTGACAATGAAGTAGCTCTCGACACTGCAATAAACGATGCTGAACTTCAAGCAGGATGCAATTTTTCTATCCAGGTCGGGTGTTACTTTATATACCTGTAAATAGTTTGTGTATGTATGAATTTATGCTTCTTGTAGACATAAAGTTGTTATTTAATTTTTGTTTGTTCAAATTAAATACTTGATCGATTTCCAATTTTAATTCAGTATTGTAATTAATCAATGACGGATTACTTTCCTAACCTTACTAACCGATTTTAAACGTTTCACCCTAATTACAAGTCAATCTTAAAAAATTGTTAACAAATTTATTGTAAGCTCTGTTTTAAACATATTGAGTTTTTGAAATCATTTTCTTACTAAAAAATACCTTGATCAATTAAGGAACATAAAATATCAGTTTTATTTGGTAAAACATTGGTTAGTTTTTTTATAGATTAAAAATAACGTTCTACATTACCAGATTTTGTTATTGTTTATGAACAATGTAGGTCTTTTGCTGTGGAGTCATTGATTAGTTTTGAGGGAAAATTTTCAACTTTAACAGATACTGTTTACAATAACCTTTTATCAACTTTACCCAAATAAGAGATAAGAAAACTAATGGGATAGATAAAAGTGGCTCTGGTTGATTTATTTTGATCTCTTTTTAGAGTGACTACATTTTTGTTGTAATTCACACCATAAAGATAATTTTCTTAACCAGTATTATTAGGCTATTGTGAATTTATTTTGTGACATAGATTTACTTTTTCTTTTCATCCCCTTTTTATGCATTTTACGTTTATCACTGTAAATTAAATTTATTATGCACTGTAAATTAATTTAGTCGTTTTGTACAGTATTTTTTAATCTCAAAAAATCCGAAGCTGGTTAGGTTTGTCTTTGCCACCGAAAATGGAAGAAAAATTGTGTAGTGCATGCTGTCAACCTTTGCCTGAAAATGGTCGATATGTCAAATGCAGTTTTGGTGGTTGTTTGTTACATTTTTATTGCTCGGGCATTGATGAAGAAATGTACAGTAGTTTAGGGTCTCACCAGCTAGGACGTTTCAAGTGTTTCATCTGTATAAAATATAAGAATAGAGGGAAACAAGTAAGTTACTGCATTGACATTTTGGATATTAAAGTAGATATCCCAAGCATATGGCCAGCTGTAGCCAATTTTTCATCTAACAAGAATATAATTGAATGTGTGCTGGTGTTTATTTTGTTGCTGAGATAGGCGATGGGCCTTAACTGATGAGCTTACAAAAACTTATGTATCAAATTTATTTGGTTAAAAAGTCTGCTTAATCAACAGAAATCAGTAATCCACATCAGTGGGCCAATCAACTATGTCAACAACTTTAACTAGGGGATGGAATGTCTACACCTTTTCCACTTTATATGATAAGTTATATGAATTAATACTTGTATTTGAGAAAATATCAAAACTACAGTAGATATTTGTCAGTTGAATTTGATAAAACAACGAATGTATTTGAAAAATTTGAAAATAGTCGACTGTTTTAGAGTAAGCATGATGTAATACTGATAAATCACTAATTTCATTTCAGATTGTGTGCTTTTAATTTGAGATGTTGGTAAATAATTGTATTTAAGAATAATAAAAATATCCATATTAAAATCACCAGTTCGAGTTTCTCCTTATCAAATCACAAGTCTCAAATACATTTAACAAATTCTTAAACAGATTCACAGCTCTTAAATTAACGGATCAATAATATTATTTTGAGCAAAGTTCTTATTTGTCTTCTCTTACTATCATATAAATTCATTTTTAGAGAATTTCCCATATAGGGAATAAGCTATTACCGTAATACTCATGGTAAGACCTGGACCCTGGACCGATTTACTTTTTCGTTTTGAGGTCCCTAGAGGCCAAAAACACCATCCGTTCAAATTCATATATTTATATATAGTGTATGTGTTCGTTAGCGCGATAACTCGAGCAAAAATGATCCGATTTTGATTAAATTTGGTACAAACGTATAAACCTACATTTATTCGAACGAGTTCTCGAACCAGTATGATCGCACTATGGGAACGGCGTTTTATGGGGGGTTTAACGGAGTAAAAATCGGTTTTTCCCATATTTTACCCTTATAACACAAAATTTCACAATTTCTTTCCAAACTATTTTGTAGAGCTTAAAAAAATAACTAATTTATTATATTGAACCATTATTATGCGCCTAATGGTTACAGAGAAAATTCCAAAAAAATTTAAATTTAAAATCCCTATGTTACCGTATTCTTATGGGGAATAAGTCAACTGTTGGAGTTTGCTTGTTTATGAACATATTTTGATCAAATTTAGAAAATTCATTAAATTCTTACTAACTACAGTATTAACATTTTACAACGAAAACACTTTTTTAACCCTCCCTGTTGCAGCAAACCTAAGTAATTGTTAAACTAATTTTATTTAAATAGAGAATAAATGTGATATTTTTAAGGAGACTTTTTTTTTGTAAATCCAATCAGGCAAATCGAAATTCGCTAAGACTGCAGGTTTGCTGCGGCGGGGGTATTTAATTTTATTGTTCGGTAAATTTTTCCAAATTGTTTAAAGGTCGTTCATAAGACATTATTGTATATTTTAGGTTAGTTTTTAATCTCGACAATGTCATCTGTTTTTTAGCTATGCTATGATTCAAAACGTTATGTGACAATAAAGAATTATATATTTATTTATTCGTTTAACAGGTCTAAAAAGTAAAATCTAAACTGAAATAAACAGGTCTGAGGTTTCACATAATTTATCACAACAATATTTGGATTCAAAAGTGGTTGGACTTCTAATATTATCTCGAGGGTTCATTTAGTTTCTTCCCTATGATAGCTCTGTTATTGCCTGGCTATAAACCTGGCTGTACAAGAGAAATTAAAAGAAATATTTTACAGGACATCCGCAAGGCTATGGAGATGCTGTCTCTTCAGCAGAAACCAGCCAAGACAACGGAGGAAGCTCTTCAGAAGCAGTATCAGTTTTGGAGCACCCAGCCCGTTCCTAAAATGGGTGAGACAAGACAACTGACAATTGATTCTCGTTGTTGATTTGCACAACCTCGAAATAAATTTTAATTTACACTAGTTTAAATTAGAGGTGTGCGGATAGTGAAATTTCATTTCGGATCGGATAGTTGAGGCTCGGTTCAGATCAACGATATAAACAACTCATGGATCGCTGGCTCAGTGTTGGCCGCGCGGTCGAGCTTCCCCCACCACCTACTGGCAGAAGCCGACGCAGCCCATACATTCACCATTATAAAACACACTTTTTATTTGCTGCACTGTTGAAATTTATAGGGATAAAATATTGCTAACGCTTGTCAAACTCTTTTTACTAGTTAAACCTTTTATGTCTGTTTTGTTTCTTGCAGAAAATAACCCATTTGAATTCTTTAAAACTACAAATTCACTAAACCCGTTTTGTAGAGTTTTTTAGACAACTGATATTGCTAGTTCCAAATTGTACATGGTAAAATAATAAGTGATTACAAAGGAGAAATATAAAGTACAATATTTGTGTTTGAAATTCTATTTTATTAATCGAAAAACTAGTACATAAACATTTAGAATAATTTTGCTAAGTTTTTGCCGCAGTGGTAACGTAAATGTTTGACGTAAACGCGATATTTTTTTCTTTCAATGTTTAATGACAATGTATCTTACAAAATAGGTCATAAAAAAGTATGCCTATCACGTTAATGTCAAGCATAGATTTGCGGTAAAAACTGGACAAATGTAGTAGGGTTTTTAAGAGTTCAAATGTGTTATTTTTTGCACGAAAAGAAGAAGACATAAAGTTTAGAATAGTAAAAGTTTTTGGCATGTATTAGCAATATTTTATATCTATATATTTAAACAGAGCAGCAACTTAAAAAGGCGCGTTTTACAATGGTGAGTGTATGGGCTGCGTCGGCTACTGCCAGTAGATGGTGGGGGGAGCTAGACCGAAAACAGCGCCCGCAGTGCTACTGAGAGCGCAATCCAGTAGTTTTTACATCGTTGGTTCAGATCGGATATTGGGAGGTTCGGATTCGGATATTTTCGGATTCGGATAGTTCGGCGCGGTTAATAATAAGCTGCATATGCATTTTTAACCTATAAAGCATACACTGTAAAGCTGTGTAAATAAACTTAAATGACGATTTTGAATTACAGAGTTTCAAATTAGCCACGTCCACAGTTTTCTCTCTCTTCAAAATCACAATTCACAACATTATTTTCAAAATTTGGTTGCTTGAATTAAGTACACTAGCAGCCGAAATCTTCACACAACACTTTAGCTCAGCAGGACTGAGATGTCAACACGTTTGGTCTTGTTTACTTGAGGTTATGTTTTATGTTGTTTCCTGGTTCTCCAAGACAAGGATTTCTATCTCAAGTTTATTTTCACATTGTATTTTCTTACGTTTTTGGAACGGATTATTGGTCTTAAGTGGCATTCTTGGGGTTTGCCAAGTATAGAAAACATCACTAATGCACTAAGCTGGGCTCTAGATTTGATGTTGTGGCAAGTTAATTAGGGCACTTAGGCTTTATAACTATTTATAAATTTCATTCAACTCTTATTCACTGCCAAACATAATTCAGTAGAACCTTGATGAGCCGAGAATTACACTAGCCTACATAGCTTCATTACCCCAAGTAAAATACCAAGATCATTTTTAAAATTGTATTTGAATAGTATAATTTTAGTTTGTTAAAAATGAATTGCATATTCAACAATTATTGCAGTCCATTATGTGACCTAGAACAACATCGCTACACATGATTTATTTGCTTGAACTAAATAGCAAATGCCACTTTTCACGTTTCCATAATTCATGGCATTTACACTCTTTCCAATGATTTTGGAAACAAAAGTCAACTGCAAACTGCTTGTTATTTTATTAAAACATTATCTTTAGTTTAATTTAAGCAGCTGTGTAGCTAAACACAACCACTAAATTAATTACAATGCATAAAAAACTATGTCATGCCCCAAGTTGTCCTAAAAGGCTTAATATATAACAATGGGATGCAAAGAATATACTTCTGCTGGTTGCAGTATCCAAAATCATTGATACATATTAAGGTTTAATCAAACAACATGTTGAGTAGTTTGTACTGAAAACAAAAAGCTATCACAATACTGTAGTTCCAAACCTGGCAATAGTGTAATTTTCTAACATTTTTAAGGAGACATTTTATTGAAAATATAATTAGGCAAAGCTGTATTTTTTTTGTACAAATTAATAGCTTAGTATAAAATAAATAAATTTGCCAAGTATGATCAAATTATATCCATAAACAAGCAAACTACAATAGTTTACTTGAGGCGTTCCATTCCAAAACTATCTTATTACATTTTTTCCATTTTGAGATGTTGACATCTCTGGATCTGTTATAAAATCTGTACTGACAATAACATTAAACCTTTTAAAAACTCACTTTTTCAATTTTATAATTTAATGTAGAGAGTCAGATATCTTTCCAAAACTAACTTATTTTATGGCCCTTGTTCCATAATTCACTTATGACAACCAGCCAATCAAAATGCTTCATCTTCGACGTTTACCTGAATTTGTAGCCTTGCCAAAACTCTCTCTATTTCCATCTGGCCAATGATGTTGCTTCAAACAAGAGAATTACAATTACAAAAATATTTTTTAGTTTATGTAAAGTTTGCTAAACTGCAATGAGTGAGTATTGGAACACAATGCCTCACTTACTCTCCATAAGAAAATCATGGCAATTTTTAATGATTTTTGAATTTAAAATGTTTTGAATTTTCTCCGTTACTAATAACCGTACAAAAACACTTCATGATATGATTTTTTTAAGCACTTCAAAGTGGTTTGGAGAGAAATTGAGAAATTTAATCATTTTTTTTCCCATAAATCCCCTGATAAAACCCTGTTTTCATGGTCCGATCACGCTGGTTTTCAAACTCGTTCAAATAAGTGTAGGTTTGGTATGTTTGTACCAAATTTCATTGAAATCGGAATGATTTAAAAAAACTTGAGAGAATGAAATTCAAATATATTTTAGTTAAAAGACAGCTTTGAATGACATTTTGTAAATGTAAAATAAAACAGAAAAAATATTTTACAAAGTAAGTTTGGGTGAGATCTCTCAAAATGTATCAGTTAACCCCCCCTTATATACATCCAACAATTCCAAAAGTGTTATAACAATGGTCACTAACAAACTACAAGATCGCGCCACTCATCCTACACTCATCTCCATTCATTCTTGGCTTAAAATTTAAAATAAGCCAAGAGTGGTTTTATGGTATGGTCGCCATTTCAGATTGAAGTATTAAAAGTATTAAGTATTAACTGGACATTTTTTCTTCTAAAGAACGTTTATTTTTCAAACCAGGTAGAGTTTAACTATCTTCATATTTGCAAGCAACACTGATACTCCCCAAGTAAAATCAACAAAGCAATTTAAAAACTCATAAATTATCTGTAATTATCTATAATTATGCCTAGTCATCATGGCAATATTATGATTGCAGAGACATTAGATATACTGCAGTAATTGCAGAAAATGTACATACTATACAACAAACACCGATATAATGACAACACTAGAACTCCAGCTATTCAAATCAATTGGTAATTGCTCAATGCTCTATATTGGGCTGGTAAAATTTGTTGGTGGTTAGATTTTTACTGAAATTCGGGTAAAAAAATTAAAACAAGCTTAGCGGAGCCAAGTTCTACTAACTCGATCGCAAAACGTTCCTGCAAAGATATCACGATCAATAAATTCACGCTTTTGCTGCGATAGCCTATGATGATTTTCCGTGACCGCAGGAGACTTTGATGATGTCTACTTGACCGTGAGAGATATTCAAGGTTTTTGCCATGATAACGGCTTCTGCCTTCTTTAATAATAAAATAATTCCTAGTAATATAATTTTAGGATTTTAAAATTCTTTCTCTAAACAATTTCAATAATCGGCGATTCCGTTTGGATACCTTGAGTTCTACTGTATTTTTGTCATCGTGACAGATTTAGTAATATAATCTTCTTTCATTTTATTGGTGTTCTAATGATATTTTTTTTTTTTTAATTAAACACTTCAATGTTTTTAAAGATGTAACACATTTTTTAGGATGATAAAAAGATAAAATAAAGATAAATAGAATTTTTGATATAATTATAAATTAAATGGGTTGCTTAGATGAGAAGATCACAGTGAATGAGCCGATTGAGCCGGAGAAGCTTCCCAATGAGATTCGCCAGGAACCGTACTCACTGCCAGATGGGTTCCAGTGGGATACTCTCAACTTGGACGACCCTCTGGTGCTCAAGGAGCTATACACACTGCTCAATGAGAACTATGTGGAGGACGACGACTCTATGTTCAGGTTCGACTATCCTCCGCAGTTCTTGAAATGGTGAGTCCATAGACTAGAAAAGGGGTTAAGTTAAGTCAGAAAGAGTTCTGATTTTGCTGGTTTGATATTAAGTCGTAATCAACTTTACATGTCCAAGGTATAATTAGGTTATTTTTTTTAAATTTATTTTCCTTGTTCCAATTGTACTGAGATTGAGGGCTACTATAGTTAATTATTTACACATGTTAACACACATACACTCCTCAAGGAACCTTATTGGATACCATGTTTTCAACACATTCATGGCATCAAACCAATTTCTTCGCATTAAAGTGGTGGTGGAAGGTAACACAAGCCTAATTTTGCTTACAATGCCCATGTGACTGAACCGGAATAGATTCCCATAAATGGGTACATATAACTTAAAGTCTGACAAAAATAAGGCCATCCTTGTCTGTTCTTCTTTCTTCATTGTTTATGTGCACATTTTAAAATAGAAATTTACAAACAAAATGTAAAAATAATTACCATTATTCAATAATGGCTACGATATGTTGGTTTGTCCAGTCCTGGATGGCTGAGAGAGTGGCATTGTGGAGTCAGGGGCCTAACAGTTTTACATAGTCTAGTATTGATGTTGGTTTGTCCAGGGCACTACAACCACCAGGATGGCTGAGGGAGTGGCATTGTGGAGTCAGAGTGACCAAGAGTGGTAGACTGGTGGGCCTAACAGTTGTGCATAATCTAGTGTTAATGTTGGTTTGTCCAGGGCACTACAACCACCTGGATGGCTGAGTGAGTGGCATTGTGGAGTCAGAGTGACCAAGAGTGGTAGACTGGTGGGCCTAACAGTTGTGCATAATCTAGTGTTAATGTTGGTTTGTCCAGGGCACTACAACCACCTGGATGGCTGAGAGAGTGGCATTGTGGAGTCAGGGGCCTAACAATTGTACATAGTCTAGTGTTGATGTTGGTTTGTCCAGGGCACTACAACCACCTGGATGGCTGAGGGAGTGGCATTGTGGAGTCAGAGTGACCAAGAGTGGTAGACTGGTGGGCCTAACAGTTGTACATAGTCTAGTGTTAATGTTGGTTTGTCCAGGGCACTACAACCACCTGGATGGCTGAGGGAGTGGCATTGTGGAGTCAGAGTGACCAAGAGTGGTAGACTGGTGGGCCTAACAGTTGTACATAATCTAGTGTTGATGTTGGTTTGTCCAGGGCACTACAACCACCTGGATGGCTGAGGGAGTGGCATGGTGGAGTCAGAGTGACCAAGAGTGGTAGACTGGTGGGCCTAACAGTTGTGCATAATCTAGTGTTAATGTTGGTTTGTCCAGGGCACTACAACCACCTGGATGGCTGAGGGAGTGGCATTGTCGAGTCAGAGTGACCAAGAGTGGTAGACTGCTGGGCCTAACAGTTGTACATAGTCTAGTGTTGATGTTGGTTTGTCCAGGGCACTACAACCACCTGGATGGCTGAGGGAGTGGCATTGTGGAGTCAGAGTGACCAAGAGTGGTAGACTGGTGGGCCTAACAGTTGTACATAGTCTAGTGTTAATGTTGGTTTGTCCAGGGCACTACAACCACCTGGATGGCTGAGGGAGTGGCATTGTGGAGTCAGAGTGACCAAGAGTGGTAGACTGGTGGGCCTAACAGTTGTACATAGTCTAGTGTTAATGTTGGTTTGTCCAGGGCACTACAACCACCTGGATGGCTGAGGGAGTGGCATTGTGGAGTCAGAGTGACCAAGAGTGGTAGACTGGTGGGCCTAACAGTTGTACATAGTCTAGTGTTGATGTTTGTTTGTCCAGGGCACTACAACCACCTGGATGGCTGAGGGAGTGGCATTGTGGAGTCAGAGTGACCAAGAGTGGTAGACTGGTGGGCCTAACAGTTGTACATAGTCTAGTGTTGATGTTGGTTTGTCCAGGGCACTACAACCACCTGGATGGCTGAGGGAGTGGCATTGTGGAGTCAGAGTGACCAAGAGTGGTAGACTGGTGGGCCTAACAGTTGTACATAGTCTAGTGTTAATGTTGGTTTGTCCAGGGCACTACAACCACCTGGATGGCTGAGGGAGTGGCATTGTGGAGTCAGAGTGACCAAGAGTGGTAGACTGGTGGGCTCAATAGTTGTACATAGTCTAGTGTTGATGTTGGTTTGTCCAGGGCACTACAACCACCTGGATGGCTGAGGCAGTGGCATTGTGGAGTCAGAGTGACCAAGAGTGGTAGACTGGTGGGCCTAACAGTTGTACATAGTCTAGTGTTGATGTTTGTTTGTCCAGGGCACTACAACCACCTGGATGGCTGAGGGAGTGGCATGGTGGAGTCAGAGTGACCAAGAGTGGTAGACTGGTGGGCCTAACAGTTGTACATAGTCTAGTGTTAATGTTGGTTTGTCCAGGGCACTACAACCACCTGGATGGCTGAGGGGGTGGCATTGTGGAGTCAGAGTGACCAAGAGTGGTAGACTGGTGGGCCTAACAGTTGTACATAGTCTAGTGTTAATGTTGGTTTGTCCAGGGCACTACAACCACCTGGATGGCTGAGGGAGTGGCATTGTGGAGTCAGAGTGACCAAGAGTGGTAGACTGGTGGGCTTAACAGTTGTACATAGTCTAGTATTGATGTTGGTTTGTCCAGGGCACTACAACCACCTGGATGGCTGAGGGAGTGGCATTGTGGAGTCAGAGTGACCAAGAGTGGTAGACTGGCGGGCTTAACAGTTGTACATAGTCTAGTGTTGATGTTGGTTTGTCCAGGGCACTACAACCACCTGGATGGCTGAGGCAGTGGCATTGTGGAGTCAGAGTGACCAAGAGTGGTAGACTGGTGGGCTTGACAGTTGTACATAGTCTAGTGTTGATGTTGGTTTGTCCAGGGCACTACAACCACCTGGATGGCTGAGAGAGTGGCATGGTGGAGTCAGAGTGACCAAGAGTGGTAGACTGGTGGGCCTAACAGTTGTACATAGTCTAGTGTTGATGTTGGTTTGTCCAGGGCACTACAACCACCTGGATGGCTGAGGGAGTGGCATTGTGGAGTCAGAGTGACCAAGAGTGGTAGACTGGTGGGCCTAACAGTTGTACATAGTCTAGTATTAATGTTGGTTTGTCCAGGGCACTACAACCACCTGGATGGCTGAGAGAGTGGCATTGTGGAGTCAGAGTGACCAAGAGTGGTAGTCAGGTGGGCCTAACAGTTGTACATAGTCTAGTGTTGATGTTGGTTTGTCCAGGGCACTACAACCACCTGGATGGCTGAGAGAGTGGCATTGTGGAGTCAGAGTGACCAAGAGTGGTAGACTGGTGGGCCTAACAGTTGTACATAGTCTAGTGTTGATGTTGGTTTGTCCAGGGCACTACAACCACCTGGATGGCTGAGGGAGTGGCATTGTGGAGTCAGAGTGACCAAGAGTGGTAGACTGGTGGGCCTAACAGTTGTACATAATCTAGTGTTGATGTTGGTTTGTCCAGGGCACTACAACCACCTGGATGGCTGAGGGAGTGGCATTGTGGAGTCAGAGTGACCAAGAGTGGTAGACTGGTGGGCCTAACAGTTGTGCATAATCTAGTGTTAATGTTGGTTTGTCCAGGGCACTACAACCACCTGGATGGCTGAGGGAGTGGCATTTTCGAGTCAGAGTGACCAAGAGTGGTAGACTGGTGGGCCTAACAGTTGTACATAGTCTAGTGTTGATGTTGGTTTGTCCAGGGCACTACAACCACCTGGATGGCTGAGGGAGTGGCATTGTGGAGTCAGAGTGACCAAGAGTGGTAGACTGGTGGGCCTAACAGTTGTACATAGTCTAGTGTTGATGTTGGTTTGTCCAGGGCACTACAACCACCTGGATGGCTGAGGGAGTGGCATTGTGGAGTCAGAGTGACCAAGAGTGGTAGACTGGTGGGCCTAACAGTTGTACATAGTCTAGTGTTAATGTTGGTTTGTCCAGGGCACTACAACCACCTGGATGGCTGAGGGAGTGGCATGGTGGAGTCAGAGTGACCAAGAGTGGTAGACTGGTGGGCCTAACAGTTGTACATAGTCTAGTGTTAATGTTGGTTTGTCCAGGGCACTACAACCACCTGGATGGCTGAGGGAGTGGCATTGTGGAGTCAGAGTGACCAAGAGTGGTAGACTGGTGGGCCTAACAGTTGTACATAGTCTAGTGTTAATGTTGGTTTGTCCAGGGCACTACAACCACCTGGATGGCTGAGGGAGTGGCATTGTGGAGTCAGAGTGACCAAGAGTGGTAGACTGGTGGGCTTAACAGTTGTACATAGTCTAGTGTTGATGTTGGTTTGTCCAGGGCACTACAACCACCTGGATGGCTGAGGCAGTGGCATTGTGGAGTCAGAGTGACCAAGAGTGGTAGACTGGTGGGCCTAACAGTTGTACATAGTCTAGTGTTGATGTTTGTTTGTCCAGGGCACTACAACCACCTGGATGGCTGAGGGAGTGGCATGGTGGAGTCAGAGTGACCAAGAGTGGTAGACTGGTGGGCCTAACAGTTGTACATAGTCTAGTGTTAATGTTGGTTTGTCCAGGGCACTACAACCACCTGGATGGCTGAGGGAGTGGCATTGTGGAGTCAGAGTGACCAAGAGTGGTAGACTGGTGGGCCTAACAGTTGTACATAGTCTAGTGTTAATGTTGGTTTGTCCAGGGCACTACAACCACCTGGATGGCTGAGGGTGTGGCATTGTGGAGTCAGAGTGACCAAGAGTGGTAGACTGGTAGGCTTAACAGTTGTACATAGTCTAGTATTGATGTTGGTTTGTCCAGGGCACTACAACCACCTGGATGGCTGAGGGAGTGGCATTGTGGAGTCAGAGTGACCAAGAGTGGTAGACTGGTGGGCCTAACAGTTGTACATAGTCTAGTGTTGATGTTGGTTTGTCCAGGGCACTACAACCACCTGGATGGCTGAGGGAGTGGCATGGTGGAGTCAGAGTGACCAAGAGTGGTAGACTGGTGGGCCTAACAGTTGTACATAGTCTAGTATTAATGTTGGTTTGTCCAGGGCACTACAACCACCTGGATGGCTGAGGGAGTGGCATTGTGGAGTCAGAGTGACCAAGAGTGGTAGACTGGTGGGCTTCATAAGTGCTGTCCCAGCATCTCTTAACGTATACAATCAGTAAGTCCCCAATAATAAGCTGACTCTTACCAAGTATCATAATTAACTAGTGATGGGTTGATTCCAATACCATTTCTGATTTTACAACTTTGGTTTTGATTCTCGATTCTGCACTCGATACCGATACCTGTTAAAAATTAATTTAATAACACATATAACTTAAATGTGTGCTTTTCGCTATCCCTATAAATAGAGGAGCATGTTATTATAATTTAATCTTTATACTAGGGGTGGGCGAGTAGTGATTTTTCAATTCGAGTCGAGTCGAGTCGAGTATTTGAGTAAAAACTCGAGTATCGAGTCGAGTCGAGTATTTGAGTAAAAACTCGAGTATCGAGTCGAGTCGAGTCGAGTAGTTGTGCATTAAGTAGGCCTAGGCCCAGGGTTTATGCTGCGGTAGTATTTTTAGCATCTTGCTATTCACAACTTAAAAATGCTAAGTTTACATTGTTTTGCAGGCTAGGTCTATGGCAAATTTTCTACAAATAAAATTGAAAGATGTAATGTTCAAACAAATGTAATATTAGCCTACTGGATTTTTTTGTTTTTAAATGCTTAAGTTATTGAATAATATTTTTTCTACAGTTAGGCCTAACTTAGTTTTTGTCTTTGCAGATAGTTTGCAGCATTTTGCTGAAAAAATTTCATCCTAGCCTAAACCTTGCCTAGGCCTAAATAGGTAGTTTAAGTACTTATACCAAATTTTCTAAGTTATATGGTTACTAATTATTAGTACCTCCTACCTTAGGCCTAATAAAACATTTGGCCTAAGTTACAGTAGACTACTTGTTGGCTGCAGCATTAAATTATTTAGGCCTACACATCACTTGTTATTGTGTGTTTTATTTTTTCTTGCCTTTAATTCCTCCTCACTAACATGATAATCAACCTAACTAACTAACTTAATAAGGTACCTAACTTTAAGAATAATTTCAATTCAAATAAGAAACAGAATTTATAAAAATAAATTTATTTATTTAACAGAAAACTTATATCAAACTACATATTGTATCACAAGTTAAAAACATCAATGAGGTATTTTAAAATAGGTAATCACTTGGATAAGCACTTCATCTGTCTGAAGTTTGAAGGTTATGGGTACTAGGGCTATCCTCTTCACTCAGTACATTTATAAAAATGATCAAGTCATTCGTCTCTGACAGACTGAAAATATCAAATAAAAACATAGTAGGCCTACTATCTCGAAATAAAATCCCACATTAAACACTTAATTTAAAATTAAAACACATTTCACTGTAGCCTGGTATAGCCTATTTGGCCTTTCTTTATAAACTCACATTTTCTAGGTTAAGTTACAATTCAAACTGTAGTTGTCATGTTTCTGCCACCAGATTGAAAATTGCACAATCAAAATCACAAACAGAATATGTTTATTTTACTTTCTATTAAACTTCCACTAACAAAATCAATTTTATTTTAAGTTACAAATTCACTTCAAAGTAAAAACATTCAAAACTGACGTTGACATAACTTCACTCCAATCCATTGTTTTGTTTTGTTCTTGTTGTTGCTATGCGTCACCATCTTTATCTCTCTCTCTCTCTCTAGTCGGTCTGCTCCTGCTGTCTGCTTCTGCTTTGTTTTCCCATCAAACAGCTGCTGTTTTGCAGGGCTGACGTTGCCATATTTATCATTACACCATTATGGTGAATGTCGGCAAAATTATCATAAAATTGTTATAGCTTTTTTTTCGTAAAAAAAGTTAATAGTTTGACTAATTTAAATCATGTTTATGTAAACTTATTAGAAAATTATACTTATAGTTTGTTTACGCCAATACCGCAGTTGTAAAAGTACAAAAATTATCGTCCATCTGGCAACACTGAGTTTAAAGTGGAACTGATCTTTTCTTTCTGCCATTTGCCTAGACCCAATGAGATTGCGTCATTCAGATGCATCGATGTTCCTTGCAGTAACTTATCGGTTTGTAAAGCCCCCCACACACTACCAGACCAGACCTCCAGACCAGACCGTCTGGTCTGGCGTCTGGCACTTGTCTTATCGTGTGTGGGGCTGTCTGCAGACCGATTTTCTCGGACCAGACTGTCTGCGTGTCTGATGGTTGAACCCTCAGACCACAGACCGTCTGAGGTTCCCCCACCACTATTTTTGTCTGGTCTGTGAGTGTGTAGCGCTGTCTGTCAGACGGCCGACCATCGTGACAATCTACATCCATTTGTTGGAGTTCTCACCACGGTCTCTCAATTACGAATGTTAGACCGTCTGGTCTGGGAGTGTGTAGAGCCGTCCAAGACGGTCTGGTCTGGAGGTCTGGTCTGGTAGTGTGTGGGGGGCTTAAAACCGTGTAGTCCTATTCCGCCCGAGTTTTATTTCGCCCAATTCGCCCGCGGTCCCAGATTAACCCCTATAATCCTCAGCTCTACCTGCGTCAGGAGTCCTATTCCATCCACGGTGGCGAAGCCCCGCCTCCTAGGACCCCACTCACCCCCAGCTATGTAAAAGCCCTCCCCTACCCATCACCCCTACCACTTTATAATCTGGAACTTTCCTTTGGGTTGAAACGCTTTAACAGTAATCTATATTGATAAATAATTACGACATAACAGATTAATAAAATTGACTGTCCATGAACTGTTAGTTACTGTACGGTAACTGTATGTTTCTGTACGGCAAACAGAAACATATGATAACACTGCAATCCAAGACATGGCCAAACAAAGGCCACTAGTTAGCTGCTTCTCAAACTCAAAGGTGTGCAGTTGGGTATTTAACAACCCAACTGCACACCTTTGAGTTTTCTTTATTATACAATGTAAATAATTCGCCTATTGGGTCTGATGATGATTGGAGTGTCGAATCAAACTCGATCACCATTTGCCATCTTTTATGTATATTTATCGTCTGGTGAGATAACAGTATAAGGGCACAAATATATGTTTTAAGTGTTATTAGACGTTTTTTTTTTACTTTTTGTATACAATGTAATATAGTAGTTTACGCAAGGAATACATTAAGATAGTGTCGTTTACTCTATTGACGCGAATTGCATACACTACTTTACCTACGACAATATTTTAATTACTTATATCACTATTCATAACTCCTAAGAGAGGTTACGTTTTCGTTTAATTTATAAAATCTCATTCCCACTGACAGTGATGCAACGAACCATTGTACCAATGCTGCTTTGTAAATAAACAATGCTGTTAAGGGAATCTTTTTAATTCTAAGAAGGGGTATATGTCTTAAAATAAAGCCATATAAAAAAAACGTTTAAGTAAAGATCCATAACTTATTTTTACATTTTTCAGATTTGATTTTGTTATGCATAAAATTAAAGCCGAACATTTAAAAAGTAATTTGAGATAAAAAGAAAATTGGTGACGTATTAACCAATGGGTATGTTTTCATTAAACTTGGCAATTATTGTTCATTTAACACTAAGCTATCTCTATTTGAATATAAACAAAAAACACACCTCATTACCTTCCGTGTAGCAGCAAATCTAAAGGCTACTCATTAAATTAATATTATTTAAATTATAAATACATTTAACAATTTTAAGGGAAATATTTTAATAGAAATCCAGCAAGGCAAACTAACTCTTTGTATGTCAGTTGATATTATGTAAAGTTGACTTGGGTAATGCTAAGTCTGTAGGCTTGCGGCAGCGGCGGATATTTTAACCTTTAGTGTTTAGTTTTTAATTATTTATTTATTCTACCAATGGTATCACAATTTTTACATTCAAAATAAATTAAATACGTTAAATCGCTGCCGTTTAGTGAGTACAGTACTAGTACTTAGGTGTGCTGATACAGGGAAGAGTTCTTTAGTGTATAATTTTGAAAGTTTATTAGTATAAAATATGAATTGGTCAAATTTCACACAACAATATGCAATAATAAGCTACTAACAGTCATCCTGTAAACATCATACAGTAACTAATTGTCCTTCTGTTTCCACTAAACTCTACCACTTAAATTAACCAGAGTCCACTATGTTCAAATGAATGAACCTGTCACATGTTGTGTAAAATATTAAATCACTATCTTCATTACACTGTCTCAAAAACACCTGTCTTACGGATCGTTTTAGTACCTAAAGATAGCTTTTTGCGGACTAGTCCGTAAAATTTTACGGACTCGAATCATATGGTTATGTCAAAGCTTATCTCAAAAACAAAAACAAACAGCTGTTCTGATCGTTTTAAATGCCAATTCATAAACAAACTTTGTTTGTTTCTTATATAACCTCTCGTGGAAAATGCGAAACTCTGCTATTTCTCCCCTGTTATTTCGCACGGACAACGCTTGGACATTCCAAGTCAACATCCCTCGCGCTTATGTTTGGTTATTTATAAGAAAATATTGTCGTAGGTAAAGTAGTGTACGCAACTCGCGTAAAAAGAGTAAACGACACTATCTTAACGCATTCCTTGCATAAACTACTATATTACATTGTATATGAAAAGTAAAAAAAGATAATCTAATAACACTTAAAACTTTTGTGCTCTCATACTGTTATCTCACCATACGATAAATTTACATAAAATATGGCAAATGGTGATCGAATTTGATTCGACACTCCAATCATCATCAAACCCAATAGGTGAATTATTTACATTGTAGAATAAAGAAAACTCAAAGGTGTGCAGTTGGGTATTTAACACTAGAAGCAGCTAACTAGTGACCTTTGTTTGGCCATGTCTTGGATTGCAGTGTTATCGTATGTTTCTGTTTGCCGTTAAACGCAATATTTTAAATAATTAAATTGCTTATTTGCACATTTTGGATAGGGAGACACACATACAGTAACTAATAGCACATAGGTAGCAAATTTTATTAATCTGTTATGTCGTAAACATGTATCAATATCACTGTTGAAGCGTTTCAACGCAAAGGAAAGCTCCAGATTATAAAGATTTAACATATCTTTACAACGGCTACATCAATAAGGGCACATGACTCTTTATATTTTAATGCTTAAAACTTCGTGTTTAAACTTTACATTAATACTATAAAAGAAATTCGCTTGGTTTGTCTGGTTTGTCAAATAAATATTTTAAGCTTAAATAACCGTGTAGTCGGAGGTGGATTACGAGGTGATGGGTAGGGGAGGGCTTTTACATAGTTGGGGGTGGGTGGGGTCCTAGGAGGCGGGGCTTCGCCACCGTGGATGGAATAGGACTCCTGACGCAGGTAGAGCTGAGGATTATAGGGGTTAATCTGGGACCGCGGGCGAATTGGGAGTAATTAGGCTCCGGGCGAAATAAAACTCGGGCGGAATAGGACATAACCGCTTAAAACTAAACACCAATACCGATTATATTTAAAAAAATATTATGCTACAATAGGTTATTTTTATTTGTTGTATTTCTATATTTTGGTATAAAATATTTTGTTATTTCTATATTTTGGTATAAAATATTTTTATGGCAGTTCAAACTAAATCTGATACTGTACTTTATAATATCTTCAAGAATCGTCTGCCATTGTTAGGCCTACTAGTCACGAGACTCCCTTGTTGACTATCGACTATTGCAATTCGATAGATTCATTCAATGCTTTATTTCAACTTACTGTATCGTTATCGAGACGTATTGTTGACTGTTGTAGGAAAGTGAAAGTCTGTTGTTAGTAGTAGTTAGTAGTAGTCCTCTTGCTAGCTCTGCCGAATGACGATGGGTGTTTGTTGAATATTTGGTTTACGCTGGTCTAACCTATATGAGGTTAGATAGTTGTTTTTTGTAGGAATGGGGATTAAATAAGGCATCAACACAAAACAAAATATAATTTATTAAATATGGATGTAGAAAATCGTGTATTGGCACTATTTATAACTACCCGACTCGAAATTTTCGAGTAGTAATTACTACTCGACTCAAGGTCGAGTATTTGAAAAAACTCGAGTAATTACTCGAAGGTCGAGTACTCGCCCACCCCTACTTTATACTGTACAAGCTGCATTGCTATTGATTAAGGTTACATAGATTAGAATAGTCTATAAGGAAAAGAAGATAGGCTACCGGTAATTCAAAAAGACATACATTTTAACATATTTTATTAAATTAAAGTGAGACAACAATCTCTGGTTAAGGTAGGCATAAAAATGTTCACTGAGTTATTTGTTTGCATAGTACATCTAGGCCTGCAATGAATGTTCCACATTGCTTGAGTTATAAAGTCAAAGTCAATATCAAAGTCATCTCAAATATTGTCATTATCAATATCACTTTAATTACTTAAACAATCACATAAAAGTCATAGAGTTCGTCACATCACTAGAACGGAGATCGTAATCCATTTTGAACAACTCACTACGCACGCACAGCAAACAAACAACAAAAACAAAACATAGGTTAAACAATTAATTTGCCATTTTGCAAACTCAGACAGCTGTTTCAGTTCAGTCAGAGAGAAACAGCAACGATAAAATACATCGCTAAACGGCCGTCTCCAATAGTTACCGTGAAGCCCTGAACAGTTAGTACAAGTAAGCTGGGGCATTGATCACACATATATAAAAATAAAGAACACAACTTAGCACCTACAAACTTGCCCAATTTTGCGTGGGCGGGACTTGTGCGCATCAGAAAACCTGCTCAATATGGGGTGGATGATACTGTAACGGTAGGTATTTTCCTCCTTTAAATACCCACTGTTACTTTGGGTGACATAGCTCAGGAATGAAACAGTAGACTGGAACTGTAATGTAACATTCATTTATAAGAGTTCTTGAGCGTCAAACTATCCAATTCTGTAAATATCCAAATCCAAACCTCTCAATATTCAATCCAAATCCAAGCCTTAACCACCTGATCTGAATCCGATCCAAACTGAAATTTTAGCACCCACACCTCTATTAATTTGTTGATTTTTCAATTGTGTTGCTTTTTATATGGGTTTTTTGATATAAAATCGGTTGTTTCAGAACTCAGAAGATGGTAGAGATCAATTTCCTTTGTGTACATAAAAAGCTGCGCAGTAAAAGAGTGGCGCCCGTACTTATCAGAGAGATCACAAGAAGAGTGAACCAGACGGGGATCTTTCAAGCAGTGTATACAGCCGGTGTGGTATTGCCCAAGCCCATAGGAACTTGCAGGTTAATCATTACTGTTAGTTTGACTACTGATGTTTAGATCCAGAAATTTATTAAGATGATCCTGTAACACTTTCACAATCTCCTTAAATGATTTCTCCTACGGGTTGTCAGGCGTAAATAAGTCCTTTAGCAGATTGTAGCATTTAGCTCCGATCACTGTTAGAAACGCACTTACTTCCTTATCGTCCAAAATTAGGGGTCTGCGAGTCCCCGAATTTTTCTCGTCTGGTCGGGCCAGCTAAAGGCCTGACAGTCCGAGTCTGGGTCAGAAATTTGTTTGGGCCATGATTGGGTCCGGCAAGAAAAAGAATAATCAATTTATTTTCAAAGAAACGCTTTTATATTAAATCTATTATTGCAGAGGAATTAAAATGTTCAAATGAGAATTTAATATTAAGTATGTTCATGACGTTAAGAATAAAAAACGGCAGAACAATTGCTGCCCACCACTGGCCAGAGTCAGTCTACTGACAGACAACATCCGTGCAAAGAAAACAAAGTCAAATGAACTATCCAAAGGTACTAGTTTAATTATTTGTTGTTTATTCCTTAGGTACCTGATCAAAAATATATTTAAGTATTTTACATAATTATAAAGAAATATCTTATACATTGTACAGCTATCTGTATCTTGTTCTTTTATTTTCCTCCTGCCCTTTTTCTCATTGTTAAAATTTCTAATAGACTGCATTTGAATTACCAGCTGATCATATGATTTTTGTTCATTCTTTGAATTGCTATTGTTTATGTTTAGTTTCTATTCTTTGTTAATGGAATAATACACTTTTTTATCTGATTTATCTTTTATTATGTAATAACGAGTTACAACAGTTTTGGCGAGGAGGTAAAAGTATACATTTTTTTATTCATACATTAATGATCAGTTACAATTTTTCAATTGCCTTTTCTTGAAATAACATGTTAATAACTAGCCTACATCTCAGGCTTAGGAACATTGAAGTTACAACAACAAAATGAACTCAGAACAATTTGACAAATTCATAGAAGGCCAGAAACAACAAATGGATCTTCTATTTCTGTTGTTTGAGAAACTAGAACAAAAAATGAAAGATAACACACCTTTCAAGGATTGAAAGAAAAGAAGTAAAATTGTAATGCTTCGAACGCCAACTAATCAGCTGATCAGTTGACAATTATAATTGTTGATCCGACTAGTACCTGTTGATACTCGCGTATTCTTAACCTAATTTGGTGGAAGTTAAAGGAAGGTAGATTAAACTGATTTAGACTCTATGACACCTAGGTGGTCGTAGAAATATTGAGTGCAACCAGTTTTTTTTTCTGAACGATGAACTATAATCTACTATATTATTTTCTAGATACTGGCATCGATCACTGAACCCCAAGAAGCTGATAGAGGTGAAATTCTCGCACCTGAGCCGCAACATGACAATGCAGCGGACTCTCAAGCTGTACAAGCTGCCTGACTCGACCAGGACACCGGGGTTCCGTAAACTCACTGCTGACGACATCCCCAAGGCTCACAAACTGTTGGCTGGCGTAAGCTGACTGCTTATTCTATCATGAGTGCTAGAGTAGTTATTTGAGGGTATTGTTTATAGAGGTTTACGGATAGTGAAATTCCATTTTGGATTGTATTTGGGTTGTATAGTTAAGGCTCGGTTCGGATCAGATATTGGGAGGTTCAGAGTCGGAAATTTTCGGATAGTTCGGAGTTGGTTATTAATAAGTTAAAAATATATAGCATACCCATTAAACACTGGCACGCTGTGTAAATAAACGTTAATGTAAGGTTAATGTTTATGTAACGTTTTGTTATTGTAAAATTTGCATTTTTATATCAACAAAATACATGTTGACCGACTCTGTTGTTGTTGTTGGTTGTGCTGACGTTGACCGCTGTGACTGCCTCTGCCACTGCGGTGGGCCGCCGCCGCCGACTCCTTCTGCCTGTCATTTTAGTGAAGTTGCGTTGACTGCTGTTAACCCCGTGTCGTCTGCATGCCCGACATCAGCGCCGCTGCTCCTCACTCCGCCATTTCTATATTGGTTGCTATCAAAAGTCAGTTCCGCTCAGCCTAGTAGCCGTTTCTTGATGACGTCACTTCGTATACCACTAATAAGCTTATCCCTCAAATAATCCAACAGATTGGTTTTAAATTCGCAAATCATTGACAGTTCTTTTAGTTGCACTACTTTATCCGAGATTTACTTGTGCTCTCTCTTAGTTCTCTAACAAAATTTATAACGTTCTGTTATAAATGCGGGTGTTGGACTATCCACCAGCTCCACAATTTGATCTTGTTTGCTGGCTTATCCGGTGTGCACAGATTCTAAGTGTTTTTAAACCCATAACCGTTAACAAAGTAGATTTTTTTTCAACCTTATAACAACCTCTCAATATAATTATGAGGACCACGTTTCTTCAGCCGCATCAAACGCATTCATAGACCCTATAAGACTGTCATTTAATACTTGTTAAATAGTCTCATAAAAACTGGTGAAACTCCTTTTATATAAACTAATGTATTACTCACCGAAGGAGGAGCAAGGATTCCTGATGAAATAAACAAACTACATGAAAATAAGTAGACAAAATGATGAAGAAGACTACTTAGAAGTAGGGATGGACGGGTCCCGAAATTTTGGGAATTTTTCGGGAAAAAAATATTCCCGATTATCGGGACGGGATTACATTTGATTCGGGAATTTTTCGGGACGGGATTTAGTCTGATCGCCGGCGATTTTGCCGCTTCACGAGTGCCGATGACGCCGCTATTACGAGCGATAGGTCTGCGAACGCAGGAGACGAAGTCGTTTCGACAATCACGCCGTGACCGCGAGTCATACCGACGATCACCACGTGACTGCGGAGTCATACCGACGATCACGACGTGACCGCACCGACGATCGCGCCGTGACCACGGAGTCATACCGACAATCACGCCGTGACCGCGGAGTCTTACCGACAATCACGCCGTGACTATGAGTCATACCGACGATCATGCCGTGACCGCGAGTCATACCGACGATCACCCCATGACCGCGGAGTCATACCGACCATCACGACTTGACCGCGGAGTCATACCAACGATCGCGCCGTGATCGCGAGTCATACCGACGATCAAGCCGTGACCGCGAGTCATACCGACAATCACGCCATGACCGCGGAGTCATACCGACGATTGCGCCGTGACCGCGAGTCATACCGACGATCACCCCGTGACCGCGGAGTCATACCGACGATCACGACGTGACCGCGGAGTCATACCGACAATCACGCCGTGACCGCCGTCATTTTGACGTTCGCACCGTGACCGCGAGTCATTTCGACCGTGAGTCACAAGTTTCTATAGGTACCTGTAAATTATTACCCATTTTTTTGGTTTTTATAGATCAGTGCCACAAACGGTAAAGATTGATTTCGTATGCCTTTTTTGGTAACTGCAATACTCAAGACTTTCTTTTCATGCAAAGAAAAAAATCCCGTCCCGTCCCGTCCCGAACTAAAAATTCAATCCCGTCCATCCCTACTTAGAAGTATTAAATTACAGGTTCCAATAAGCAAACACATAAAATATGTGGGAGTAACAATCACAAACAATAACAGAGAAGATGTTGAAATTCAAAACAGACTCACGGCAGCAAAAAAATCATATTGAAGCTTAGTAAAATTATTCAAAAGTAAACTTTCATCAAAAATCATCAAAATAAGAATGTATAAATAAAACTATAGTGTGTATACAACCTGTTCTGCTATACGGAGAGAGGCTACCGAATTTGTAATTTTTGGTATACTAAAAAATATGTATCAGTCGGTTATTACATATTTTGTTACAGTTTCAATATTGCCTCTGTTACATTTTCACAACTTGCAATGAAGTACTTTTACGTATTGTAACAGAAGTTTTCATTAGGCTTATTCCTTTGCTTATTGACAACAAAGCTCCTAATTCTTAACGGTGTGACACATCCATTCCTTGATCTCAAAAAATCCAGTAATACCTCATTAACTTGAAAAATACAGTAGACTCCCTCTTATCCGGACTCCTTGGGATAACAGTTTTTCCGGTTAAACTGATGTCCCCAAAACTCGTTAAAACAGACCGTTTAAATGCATACTGTATACAGTATTTGACTAAAATTTTGGAGAGGATTGTATTTAGACACGTGATCACAGGTCTCAAATCTTTCCCACGAGAACAGTAGTTTCAATACCGCCCACTTCCTGCCGATCTAGTCCGGTTAAACTAATGTGCTGATAAAAATTGTCCGTTTAAACCGCCGAGTGTAGTCCAGCTAAACTGATGTCCGGTTAAAAGGTGTCCGGATAAGAGGAAGTCTACTGTACATAAAATGCTTCACAAAAATAAAGGAAGAGCACTTTCAGGTTTTTTTTCATAGACACCTCCTACAGTTATGTTAGTGTCTTGTTGCAGATTAACCATGATCCCCAAAAATCTAAATTTAAAAAAATACCATACCATTTGAGATACATTATATAGCGATCACTAATATTTTTAGTGTAAGGAGGCCCATCATCCCGCAAGGAGACTTTAGGGTTGTCGTTGTTTACTTCACCAACCACCCAACGATTACATTTTGTGTGTGTTTTAATTTTTGTTATTACTAGGCCTAGACATAAGCTATCCAATATTATATAAGTTTTGTAAGTTGGCTTGAGTGAAAAAAAATTTAAAAGCTATGAGTGTTTTAAAATGTGTTATTATTACTAGCTAAACCTGTATTAAAGATTAACTATAAATTGAAAGTCAATTGAATTATTTTCCAATAATTTTATTTTAAGGTTATGTTTGCATTATCAAAGTTCACTCAGCCCCTACTTTATATTACTTTCCTAGTGGTCTTGTCAGATTCAAAATCTTTTTTTCAGTATTTATCAAGATTTGATTTGGTGCCGCTATTTTCGGAAGAGGAGTTTCGCCATTGGTTTTTGCCTCAGCCAGGAATTGTAGATTCATTCGTGGTAGAAAACAACGGTGAAATTACTGGTAAGTGTACATAACCACAGAAAACATATTACTATAACCCAGAATGCCAACCGCGTGGTAAAAAGCATTTAGTGTTTTGAGAGAGCTTTGCCTGTCAATCGTAGGCAGCGCCACCAGCGTTGCCATGCACTCAGCATAGCAACGCTGGTGGCGCTGCCTACGATTGACAGGCAAAACTCTCTCAAAATACTTAATGCTTTTTACCATGTGGTTGGCATTCTGCGTTATAGTAGTATGTTTTCTATGACATAACTGACTTGATCCTTTGTGCATGGATTAAAAGGTTAATACTACGAGTGTTATTTTTAAGTACGAGTCGTTTTAGTGAATTTCCCATGTGAGGATTGAGCTATTACCCTCATGGTAAGACCTAGACCCAGAAACGATTAATTTTTTGTTTTAATGTCCCCAGAGGCCAAAAACACCACCCATACTAATGCTGAATTCTTTAATTTATTTATTAATATATTTATTTATACATATACTAGCAGTTACCCGGTGTGCGCTGCTGAGCTAACAACTATTATTTTAAATAGTAATTTGTTCTTTATGATAAACGTATACCAAAAACAAAAATAGAATATTTATTTTACTTAATTGCCAGTGGATAAACAATGTTTTTGTTTTTTTCATTAGGTGTATAAATGTACAAACAAGTCTTTGGGCGTACCTTGTGAGCACACAACATACATCTGTCCAGTTAGGGACTGCCCTTGTGCCTTATAATGGTGATTGCAACAGCAAGACAAATTCGCAATAAATCAAGGCAGCTTAGCATTAAGTCCTCGTAAATTGCACCTTTTTGAAAAGAAAACCAAATACGCTGTTACAAAATTCTATAATAAACTTCCAAAGGACATACAAGCAGAAGTAAATATATAAAAAAAATAATTAGGGGTGTGCGAAGCAGCAAAAAATTTTCGATTCGAAGCAACGATTCGATTCAAAAGATTTTCGATTCGATTCGATGCAACTCGATTCGAAGCAATACGGTATTTTTCTATTCATAATTGTCAATTGAGTGGATTAACAATAATTAAAATTTACCACATTTGTGTAATACAGATTTTTGTTGATGTGGTAGGCCTATTCATACTTAACATATGAATTTTAGGCGAAAAAATATTTATTTTCAATCATAGGGATTAGAATAACCTGTATTGCTGGAAATACCAGTGAGCTGCTTTACTTGCCTATTTCATAATTTTTACTTGGAATTGGCTCAACTGCAAGAAAGAAGAAAATATTTTTTTTATCAAGACATTCATTCTCATTTTAATAACTGTTTATATAACTAAATAGTACCGGTAGCTAAATTACAACAAATTTGAATGGAACTTAATATAAAAAGACCATTAAGAAATAAATTTACATATCACAAGTTTAGGGCCTGTGGACCGGCTTCAGGACTGCAAGCAAGAAGAAAATAAAAATAATATGTTTCCACCATGCAATATGTATCATTCATTCCCTACCTCCTAACTTCCTTAGTATAATAACCTCACACTTACATTATTTGTTACATCATCATAAATAAAGAATTATCTATTATTGGCATCAGTAGGACTACAGCTTTACATAGGCATTATTTTTATAGGGCCTAAAATAGTAATAGGCTAAGCAACATGACAAGTGGATAGCTCATTAAAGAAAAGATATTGTGTAAACTAATTTACTATAAAACTCAAAAACAGTAAATAACACACAAACATTGTTTATGGTATAATTATTAAGGACTGTAAAAAATGCATATCATGTCATACAGTAGTATAGACCTACTGCAAGAGTTTAAAATCCTAAAACAACTGATTTTGATAGCTAATGAATGAAAAGAATTAAAAATCCATAAAATAAAGCCAAACAATATCACAATTAATTAGGTACCCGAAAAGTAACTCTTAAATAATATTAAATCAAGAGATAAGAAAGTTAAATGCTAACTTCTAGTGCCCTTGGCAACACAGGTCAATGTTTTTAAACTACCCTCAATGTTTTTGGAACAGCAGGGTCTTTTTCTCTGAAGGAAGGGTAGTAGTTAGTAGTATGTCAACAAAAACAATGAACCACTCTCACCAGCCAGGCCCGACGATGTGTGCATTCAAGGTCATGACCCTCCCCCTCCCCTCTTACACAACCCGGTTGCTACCCAGTTGCTTCAATTGCTGACAAAATTCAAGTGATGAAACAAGGAAGTAGAGACAAAAAAATAAAAATATATTCCTTTATTCAAAAACACAAAACTGTTACAGATCATTTTCAAAGAAATTAATTCATTGTAATTTGTGAGTTGTAAATATTGTATTGGATTCTAGAAATATATTTTTTAAACCCCATCTAACCAAGATACAGATCTGTTCACTATATCAGATATTTCTTTTGTTTATAATTTATTATATAAAATACTAAAATATATTTTTTATTAGGTATGGAATAAACAATAAATGATTAAACTAGTATGTCTGGATAAATAGTCTTTCTATTCTTTTGACTTTGTTTTCTTTGCACTGTTAGTGTTGCGTCACGGCTTTTGTCTTGTCACTCTTGTCAGTACAGTAGACGACTAGACTGGCTCTGGCTAGTGGCAATACGGCAATTGCTCCGTTGTGTCTTTATTCTTAAAGGTCGTGAGCCAACTTAATCTTTAATTCTCATTTGAACATTTTAATTCCTCTGTAATATTAGATATAATAATATAAGTGTGTTTCTTTGGAAATAAATTATTATTTTTTTTCTTTTGCCCGAACATTTGGGGACCGGCAGACCCCTAACAAAAATACCAAATGTATCAGTCTATAACATTAATTTTTCTAGTTAAGTATTAAGTAACAATTTTTCAGACTTATTTTAAAAATGATTTTGGAGTAACCTATCTTGTTTTGGCTAGGTTTACAGTAGTAAAATATTTTTCACACTGCTTACATCAAGACAAAAAAAGTTATATTTACTGCAAAGAATGTATTAAATAAGAACGCCTTCGTAAAGGAAATGCAACAGCAACGCGCTCCTGTATTGCGGGTATTGCATTGACTTTCTGCAGGCGTTTTTCGTATATGGATACTGACTCCCTCATGAATCGAATCGTTTTTTGACCACCACTGAATCGAATCGCGATTCGATGCATCGAATCGAATCGAAATTTCGATCCATTTTCGATGCATCGCACACCCCTAAAAATAATAAAACAAACCTAAGATATTTCTCATTAGCAGGGCTATTTATTCATTTCATGAACTGTAATTGACTTCTCTTTCCCTACTAATCAAAGTATGTTTTCACTTTATTTATATCATTTTCTTTTGGTTCTTTGTTCTTTTACAGTTATTCTCTTATTTACTAAAAGCATGTATATTTGATTATAACTTTATCATTAAGAAATGTGACACTATTCATGTATATATTCCTAATGTACTTGATGAATAAAGATAATTTTTATTGAATTGAAAAGAGTCTGGGTACCCACCAACAACACAATTCCGTCCGAAATGAACATTTTCACGACCATTTTTAAACTCCTTAGCCTACTTTTTCACTCTCCCCGCTGTCATTCCATTAGAGTCATAAACTTCAGCCATTTGATGATGAATGTCAGCATCGGATATGTTTATTGTGGTCAAAAACGTATTACTGATCTTGGCGGGAGATTCAATAATACAAAAAATCCACATCGAACATGGTTTTCTCTGTTGTGCTGTAGTACATATTTCGTTTAATATCAATTCTAGTTTCCTGCAGTCTGTGGATACTGAAGAGCGTATGAAAGAAACAACTGAAGCGTATGAGTGGAAACAAGTGGCTTATTTGTTTGCAGGGAACTATTTTAAAATATTAAACATAACTGTCGTCAATTGGAATTGAGGCAAACAGATTTAATGATTTAATCTTTAGTTGGAAATAATGCATTGTGACGTAATTTTCCGTAAGCGCCAAAATCACCAAAAGGTGGCCTGCTCCTCTTTTCTCCCGTAGCCGACTAGTCTCTTTTAGCGCGACTAGGGCACAGCAACAGCTTACATTCAGCTGTTTAAGTTTCGTGGTTTAGCCGTTATTTTACCCCCTACACATTTGACCCGTTACAGCATTTGGGTTAGTTTATTAGAACACATGCCAGCTGTACAGGCTTCAAACTGTGTTTGCACAGCAGCTCGGTTATATTTCACATGGGTTGTTTTGCTGCTCAGATGGCCTTTTGTACAGCCCAACATAAAAACAATTGAATACTCATAAGGCTAGCAACTCTAGGTAGCTAAAAACGTGTTGTGGCATTTCCTTAGTGGTAATACCTGGGGGAGCGAGCTAGTCTAGTGATTAGAGTGCAGGACTCCGGTTCCTGGGGTCCCGGGTTCAAATCCCCCCAAATCACCAATGGATTTTATCTAAGTGATAATGCCGTAACCGCTAGGTCTAGCCTGAAGTAATGTGAAAAAAAATTCCAAGCTCGTGCCTAGCGTCCTAGGACAAAAAAAAAAAAAACATTTATGCCCTGGTGAGTAACATAAAATAAAATAAAATAATTTTGTGCTGGTGCTGGTATGATTGGTAGGAAGGACTTGAATAATTTTTCACTTAATACAGAAAAAGTTCGGGCTTGTGGCAATAACCACATGTGTGGCAGAAAGACCCGGTGTTGAAACAATCAAGTGCTTTTATGTAAACAACTGGCAAACAGATCAACTGAGGTTACTCTAGACTTACATTTTGATGGTGTTGCAGATATGGTGAGTTTCTACACGCTGCCATCCACGGTGATGCATCATCCTGTACATCGTACACTCAAGGCAGCGTATAGCTTTTACAATGTCTCTATAAAAACTGCATGGATAGACCTCATGCAAGATGCCCTAATATCTGCCAAAAATGTAAGTACCAAAAGTCACTCAATATTCTTAACTGTAAAATGTATAAAATAAAAAACAGAAAACACTTTTCTCCTCAATCAACAAGAATTCCTGTTAGCAAATTTAATTTTCCATATAGGGAATAAGCTATGATCGTTTACGTGAACCAAATGTACCATTGACATTGGATACTGTATATATCTCATTTACTGGAAACAGATGTAGTATTGACTTTAGAAAAGTATTGGATTAATATGCTAGCTTCGCTCAATATCGCAAGCAGACTGCATTGTACCCCTAGTTATCATGGTTCTACTGTATTAGTATGAAATGTTATGTTTTGTAACCAAGCGAGCTGAACTCTTCCCCCTCAAAAAAAATCTATGAAATATATTTGATAGTTTATGTTCTTCCTGTTTTAATCGATGCTGAAATGTGTATGTTTTCAGGCTGGCTTTGATGTGTTCAATGCCTTAGATCTGATGGAAAATAAAGAATTCTTAGAACCTCTGAAATTTGGGATTGGTGACGGTAATTTGCAGTACTACCTGTACAACTGGAGGTGTCCCTCTGTCGCACCAAACAAGGTAACAATGCTTTAAAACAATTAATAACTGTAAAATTGTATAGCAATAAATAAAGTTTTCTTTAGGTAAAGTCAGTTTTAATATAATGTCCTAGGTTAATTTTCCATAACCTGACAGTACCTTCAAGATCAATGGAATAGAAAATTAAAGGTAAATAAATTAATACTTTCTGAAACTGGAAAATCATCAAGATAATTGTCAAGATGTAGGTTGAGTAGAAATCTCGTTTTACATCTTTAATACAAGAGAGTAAGCTAAGCTAATTTTACAATTCTTGTGACATACGGTAGTTTTTTGTTTTTTTTTTGTCCTAGGACGCTAGGCACGAGCCTGGGATTGTTTTTCACATTAATTCAGGCTAGACCTATAGGTTGCGGCATTATCACTTAGATAAAATCCATTGGTGACTGGGCGGGGATCGAACCCGGGACCTCAGGGATTAAAGTCCCGTGCTCTAACCACTACGCCAGCTCGCTACCCAGTCCCAATATAGAGTAAAGATAAATAGAGTAAGCACAAATCGACATAGCTCTATGATGAGTACTACAGTAGAATCTCGATAAGAAGTGTCTCAAGGGGATTAGTAAAATAGTCTTGTTCTCGAGGTGCTCTTCTAGTCGAGGGTCGTGTTATCAAGGTTAATAAAAGAACAGAGCATCTTTATAACGAGTGCATTTCAGAACTTATGCAAACACATATTTTCTTTAAAATAAAACTGGGACGGGTGGCGTCGTCCTGTAATCCAACTGCTAGGAGGTCACGAATTGTGGATATTTATAGGCATGCACTGTGGATGCGATACTCCCTGGTGTGGATTAACGTCCGCACAAGTGAGTACTACGACTATCCGCAGTACTTTGAATGTACTTGGTTTTATGTGCAAGAATAGTTTTTTTAAACAAAAATATATACGTCTAATAACACGTCTTGTAATAATATATTTACAATTATACTGTTGACTCACAAGACGTTAAATACACACAAAAGTTGGTATTTACCATCTTGTGTGTCAACAGTATAAGTGTAAATACAAGTGTTATTAGACGTATATATTTTTTTTTTTTTTCAGATAATTTGATAACACGTTGCTGATCAAGATGTTATTCATTTTCATTTTTGACCCTCAAAACATAAAATTTCCCAATACTTCTTTAAACCATTTTGTAGAGCTTAAAAAACAAATAATTTAGTACATTAAAATGTGTTTGTACAGTTATTGGCTACGGGAAAAAATTAAAAAATGCAAATTTAAGATTCCCATGTTTTTATGGTGAATATTGTTAACTATACAATGCAATACAATACAAATCATCTTTATTCATGAACCTTTATCACCAAAACTATGTTTTTAGTGGTTTGCATTTTTAATGTTTCCCACCAAAGTGTGTATTTGACTTGTGTTTCAGATCGGACTGGTTCTACAGTGAACTCAGCCAATTCAACACCAAGTCACTCTCTGTGTTGCTACACTCATTCTGTAAATATCAGTGTTCTGTCCGACCCCAAGGCTAGCCAATAATCAATTGTTTTCTTTGTTCAAATAAACATCTAGTTGCTTATAAATAAAGGAGTTGTAACGGCTACTTGCATGAAGACATTTTAACTGGCTGAAGAGAACCTATTGAAATCTGTTAGGATTCACTGTTAATTTAGACAAGAATGTTTGCATTTTAAGAATATGTTACCAGTCAAAACTCCTTTTCACTGCAAAATTTGTATTTAGGTTTCAAACCTGAATTTGGAAGGTAGGCTATTAGTTTATCAAAAATCAACAATTATACTATATTGGTTTTTATACAATATTATTGTAAACAAATTAAACACTATATAATTTAATATTGGTTTGTTTGATTTCCCTCAAACTCAAAACCACCTGTAGTTTACAATTTAACACAGTGGCGTAGTTTGTAGCGCTCAGGAGCAGAGATGGCCGAAGCTGCCCCCCAGGTAGGCGGGGGTCTGTAGGTCCTCCCCTGGAAAAATTTTGAACTAGCGTTTTTATGCAATCTAGACATAATAATTTTTAAAACATAAATTGGCATTTTAATTGGGTTTATTATATTTAACCTATTTGATTAGGGCGTTCAAAAAAAAAACATGAATTTCAATTAAGTTCATTGGATGGAACTTATCCTTACTTAGAAATCTTCTCAAAACAGGATAGCTTTACCAAGTGCACGTAAACAGTAGGAACTGAGCAAAGGATGCAAATTTACAAATTGCGGGCAGATGTCGATGACGTTTAAGCACTTCCCACCACTCACTTAGGTTGCTGACCCCAAGACCTCTCGGGCCATACCTCCCCTTCACCTTCCTTCCTAAAATCCTTCCATGCTTGATAACAACATAGTAAAAAAAAAATACTAGCCTGGCACCACCCCGCCCCTAGTGCTTGCCGCCCAGGAGTAACTGCTCCACTGTCGCTATGCCACTGATTTAACAGAAATTCCATTTGTGTTGGTAACCAATTTATATCTAATAATAATACACTTTGAAGTGTCCAAAAGCCAATAAGCATGTATTATTGATTTATTATGGTGGCATACTGATTTAGTATCTGTTATTTTTGTATGGTATATTGATTATGATATTATATTTGTTCTGTAATGGGGGTTTTTAAGTAGGGCTGATGTAAACACTGTATAACATATCACCAAATATCTTCAATATACTACAAAGTTTTACTGAATTGAACATTTAACAATGATGGTGATAAGAAAACCTGTTTTACAAGGAGTGTGAAGCTAAAATGAACAGTAATTTTGAGAAATACTAATTTTGCATTTGCCAATTCAAGGTCCCAATCTTTAGGATTGATTTCAAAGGTTTGTCTAACTTGAAAGATCAGTATTTAGATAGCTTGATCACTAGGAAAATGCGTACAGCAGATTCTCTCAAATTGAAAAAAGTGGCAAGTGAGGGAACGAGAAGTGTACTATACTACTTAATTTGGACCAGGGATTACAATGATCACCAATCACCAAGTCTTTTGTGTAGACGCGACGCCCCCTTTCACCAATTAATTCCTATAGTAAAAGTCCTCGGGCTTTGCCTCACAGAGCATCAAAATTCCTAATGTATTTCGTATGAAGAAAGTTTACTAACCCAGCTGTTATGCTCCGTTCTGCTATTTAATTAAACTAGTGCACCTGTTGCTCGAATTCGAGCAATTGCTAAGTATTACAGGAGTGAAAATTTAAAAACGTATGTTTTCATGTCCCTGGCCTTTTACTTCGTAGATACTGGATTTGTAGTTTATTATTATGTGTTTGAATATTTTTTGGGACGGGGGCAACATGTTACACACATTTATTTGGTTTTAAATATGTTCTAGGTATTTTTTTCGTATTTTTAAAGTCTCGAAATTCACGACCATGACGTGTCCCTAGGGTACATTTTCCAACCATCACGCTGTTTTGAGACTAATTATTCATGCCAAAATATATAATACCATATTTCTATGTCATCAATGGTTATTAAATTTACATAAAAGGAGCATATTATAATTTTATTGTCATTGCAAACTGACTACCATGACAAAATAAGTCCGTCCCTCGATTTGGCGTCACGACCATTTGGGAAAAATTTTCAACTTTGGAGCACGACAGTGGCAAGCCTGGCGTCGATGGAGTCAGTTGGTTTTAGAGACTAGTTCGGGGTGTACGTCAGGATTGTAGTGCCGGTCGTTTCGAGTCGAAAGGAGGAATTACAAGATTAATAAAGGAAAGATTGTGTTTTTTGTAATTTTGGTGTGTCCATGACCGTACGTAGTCATTCGATGAAGTAGACATTGTGTTAATTTTTGTTTATTAGATATTTCAATTGCTAGATTAACCTAGAAGTCCACATTGTATCCTCGAACATGAGGTGCAGGGCTACCGCCAGAACAGAGCCAAATAACACGTAATTTCACAACCAAAGTTTCACGACCATCGCGGGTTTTTTCACGACCAATTCAGCCTTATGGATTATAGTGTGTTTGGTCGTGACAATAACTTTAATATAATTGTAAATTGAAACGTTTAGTTCAATTGAAACACATATTTTTATTATAACTAACAGTATAATTGAAGGATTGTTTAGAAAGATTTAGATTATTCCAGACAATTCACGACCGTACCGCTTGTCCCTGACCATCACGTTTATGATTTCTATCATAAAAATTTCAAAAATTAAAATATCGTCATATTTCAATGTTTTATACACAAAAGAAGCACACCTCTATACAAACATAACGATTTTTCGGGTCTCAGGTATGTTTTTTTCGGAGTTATACAAACTAAAAAAGATTTTATTGGCTTATTTTCAATTTTTTGAGATTTTTATTTTTTTCTAGGAAGACCAAATATACCAAAAGCTCAGTGACCTTTTTATTGTATAATGGTCATAAAAGTAAATTAGTTTATAGCAAAACATAGTTATAAAAATAATATTAACCATTTTTAATATTCATTTAAAATCCGTTATGGTCGTGACTGGATTTTGTGTTTTTCCACTAAAGATGCACTTTTAAAAAAAACTATCAAAGATATTGCGTTACCATGGACATTTTATGAAACTTCAAATGTTAATGAAATAAAAAAATAATAAAAGTTTTGAAAAAAGGGGAAACAAATTTGCAAAGTGCTTTTCCTGAAAACGTACGTTTTTAAATTTTCACACACAGGCGTTAATTTCACTACTTATAACAGTCATAATTTCCGATGGCTTAATTATGAAATGAAACCTTCATAACCTAACCAAACCAACCAAAACTTGCTGATAAATATCCAAGACAAAAAAATAATGCCACGGGTGAGATTCGAACCCGGCTTATTTAGTTCAACAGCCCAGCACTCTATCCCCTATACCACCGAGACCGATGGCTTCAAACCGTATCGTTTGCGGTAATGCTGTTCACTCAGCCAATCAGAAGCCTCCAAATTAACACTGTTGGCAAAACTAATCATGGAATAAAAATTCAGCCTGTGGGACAAAGCCCAAGAATTTTTATTGAAATGGGGTGTCTAAAAAAAAATACTTAATTATGACACCTCGTTTGTAAAAATCCGTCCATTATCAACGGAGGAGTAGTGTTTCGTAGAAATCGCCTTCACGTATTTTTGTATTGTCCCCTTTTTAGCGAATTTCCCATATAGGGAATAAGCTATTACCGTAGTACTCATGGTAAGACCTGGACCCGGGACCGACTTTTTTTCGTTTTGAGGTCCCTAGAGGCCAAAAACACCATCCGTTCAAATTCATATATATATATATATATATATATTTATATTTATTTATATATTTATATATATATATATATATGTGTGTCCGTTAGCGCGATAACTCGAGCAAAAATGATCCGATTTTGATGAAATTTGGTACAAACGTGTAAACCTACGTTTATTCGAACGAGTTCGCGAACCAGCATGATCGGACCACGGGAACGGAGTTTTATGGGGTAAAAATGGGTTTTTCCCATTTTTGACCCAAAAAACATAAAATTTTGCAATTTCTTTCTAAACTATTTTGTAGAGCTTAAAAAACAAATAATTTAGTATATTGAAGCGTTATAATGCGCCTAATGGTTATATACGGAGAAAATTCCAAAAAAATTGTAAATTTAAAATTCCCATGTTATTCTTATGGAGAATAAGTAAACTGTTGTAGTTTGCTTGTTTATTAACATATTTTGCCCAAATTTGGAATATGTTTTTATGTCAACGATACTAACTATTAACTACTAACTATTAAGATTTTACATAAAAAACCCTTTTACCCTCCCTGTTGCAGCAAACCAATGTTTTAAACTGATTCTATATAAATTGGGAATAAATGTGATATTTTTAAGGAGACATTTTAGTGTAAATCCATTCAGGGAAATGGAAATTCGCTTAGTCTGCAGGTTTCTTGGTGCCATATGCATGTGGTCAATGAATTTAACTTTTGCATCTATACTTATTTAATACGCAAGCAGGTTTTTTGTGACAATTACTCCTCCGAAACTACTGAACCGATTAAAATGTTTTTGGTGTCATTGGAAAGAGCGTAACGTGAAGTTGTGCAGGAAACTTTCTTTTTAGGGAAATAATTAGAGAGTGAGGCCCTGGGGCCCTTTAAACTTTCGTATTTATCCATAAGATTAACATGGGAAACAAAATTTGTTATGCAACTCCAGCTGTTGTCAGAAATTAAAAGTGATATATTTATTGATGGTATCCATAGTAACAAAGAACAAACCCACAAAATTTAAAAATGTAAACAAGCAGAACTAACTGTCAAATTAATTTTGATTTCACAATTCCACACAGCTGGTCTAAATATATTAAATACTGCATGATTATTAGAACAGGAACATGGATCATAAACATAAATAAAATATGTCACTCAATCACTGTTAATCAATGTTAAATGTTTACATTCGGGCGAGTGACATATTTTATTTATGTTTATGATCCATACCGTTCCTGTTCTAATAATCATGCAGTATTTAATATATTTAGACCAGCTGTGTGGAATTGTGAAATCAAAATTAATTTGACAGTTAGTTCTGCTTGTTTACATTTTTAAATTTTGTGGGTTTGTTCTTTGTTACTATGGATACCATCAATAAATATATCACTTTTAATTTCTGACAACAGCTGGAGTTGCATAACAAATTTTGTTTCCCATGTTAATCTATATATATAAAAGGCAAAGCCCTCACTGACTCACTCACTCACTCACTCATCACTAATTCTCCCACTTCCCATTTAACTAGGAGGCTGAAATTTGGTACACTGATTCTTTAGGCATTAAATAGGAAAACTAAGTTGTTTTTATCCTGATCGGACTCTTGGGCTCCGCCCCAATGGCTC